GAGTATCCCACAAGAGTTTCCTACAAGAGTGTCCCACAAGAGTGTCCTACAAGAGTGTCCCACAAGAGTTTCCCACAAGAGTGCCCCACAAGAGTGTGCCACAAAAGTGTCCTACAAGAGTGTTCTACAAGAGTATCCCGCAAGAGTGTCTCACAAGAGTGTCCTGCAAGTGACCCACAAGAGTGTCGCACAAGAGTGTCTCACAAGAGTGTCCCACAAGCGTGTCCTACAAGAGTGTCCTACAAGAGTGTCCCACAAGAGTGTCCCACAAGAGTGTCCTATAAGAGTGTACCACAAGAGTGTCCTACAAGAGTGTCCCACAAGAGTTTCCTACAAGAGTGTCACACAAGAGTGTCCCACAAGAGTGTCCCACAAGAGTGCCCTACAAGAGTGTCCTACAAGAGTGTCCCACAAGAGTGTCCTGCAACCGTGTCCCACAAGAGTGCGCCACAAGAGTGTCCTGCAAGAGTGTCTCACAAGAGTGTCCCTTAAGAATGTCCGACAAGAGTGTCCGATAAGAGTAACCCACAAGAGTGTCCTATAAGAGTGTCCCACAAGGAGTGTCCTACAAGAGTGTCGTGTAAGAGTGACCCACAAGAGTGTCCCAGAAGAGTGCGCCACAAGAGTGTCCTACACGAGTGTCCTACAAGAGTGTCCCGCAAGAGTGTCCCACAAGAGTGTCTTGCAAGTGACCCACAAGGGTGTCCTACAAGAGTGTCTCACAAGAGTATCCCACGAGAGTGTCCTACAAGAGTGTCCTACAAGAGTGTCCCGCAAGAGTGTCCCACAAGAGTGTCCTATAAGAGTGTCCCACAAGAGTGTCCCACAAGAGTGTCCCACAAGAGTGCCCTACAAGAGTGTCCCACAAGAGTGTCCTACAAGAGTGTCCCACAAGAGTGTCTCACAAGAGTGTCCCACAAGAATGTCCGACAAGAGTGTCCTGCAAGTGACCCACAAGAGTGTTCTATAAGAGTGTCCCACAAGAGTGTCCTACAAGATCCTACAAGAGTGTCATTTGGACATATGTAGCTTTTCGATCGTGTTTGCATTCGGGTTCGTGGGCTCCATCTTGTTTGTTTTTTTCGTTTGATTGTGAGGTATCGTTTGATGTGCCCAACTTACTGGGGGTTAGGAGTCCGGAGGGACCCTCCACATCACACGGCGTGTGGAGCCTTGAACCTCCATCACTTGACGCTGTAAAGAGTCTGTGAATCTTAATATCTCCCACATCTCCGAACAAAGAGCTCTTCTGCAGAAGAATGATCCAACCCTTCCCTACGGCTTTTCCACTTTTCACCTCGACATTTGTTCCATTGGCTTTGGCCAAGTGGTGGTGTTGTCTCAGCTTGGACACCACCAAATTGCATGGGAAGCCGATTTCGGACCGCCCCCCAAAAACGGTGGCCGACGCCCCATCGCCACTACGGTCGCCCCCAGGAAGATCCGCTGCCCGGCCTTGATGATTCACGGGCGCCGGGATGACATGATCAACTTCCGACACGCGGAACAGCTGCATGAGGCTGGCCGAGCTCTGGCGGTTCCCGGCCGGGCTTCGGACTAGCGGTTTTGGTGCGGTTTTAGGGCTGGGGGCGGTTTTGGGCATGGTTCATACAGAGTGGTGAAGTTCCAGAATCCCAAAGCTGCAATGGCCTCAGTTCATGATTGTGGTGGCTCGAAGCCAAGCAGGCCAACAAATGTCTGTAGCAAGCGCCAGCAATCTTCCGAGATTCTGGAGCAAGGACATCTCTTTGGAGCACCTTGTCGCTTTGGTCGAATGGGATTGATCACTAGCCAGTAGGCACCTGGCAAGTGGATATCCGAGTGTGTTTGTGAATTGGCGAATGGGATCAACATATAGCAAATTTCATACATTGAAACCAGGAAGTTCCTGGTTCATCCTTCCATACCTTCGACCCATTGCAGACCTGCATTCTGCATTCTTGAAAACGTCAGGCGATCCCTACGCGAAAGCTTCTGGTGAGTCCTCCAGCCATGCTCCACAACACAAACCTCATGAATGACATGAACTACCTGGCCCCTGGGCGTCGGGCGGGCTACGCGGGGCGTTCCTGGGGTGCTGCCGCGGTGTTGACTGCTGGAACTGCAGGGTCCAAGGTTTCTGGTCAGAACCAATCGCTGGATTGGCGCTTTTCGTGAGAGCAGCTGAAATGGAAGAGTGCTCCAAACACTGGCCATTCACCGGCTTCAGTCCTAGTGTGCTGGTCGGGCTTTTCAGTTGGTTCTTTCCGGGTGGGGATCCTGCAAATACAACGTTGAAACGCGTTGCTTTCATTTCACCCGCTCAAAGCTCCAAGAAGCTCTTTGGCACACCAAGTCATAAAGAAAGACCAAGCTCTTCTATCCTGCCCTCGCCAAGGTCATGCCTGCGACACACTTCTTCTCCTTACCAGACTATGTCTTCCACGACATGAGGCGCGGGCTCTCGGTTCGGTTTGTCGACACGCTCGTCCCGATGTGTTGGATCGATGGGGACGAAGCGGATTGTCTCCAAAATTCGCTCGGAAGGGAACGGGGATTCTGTCAAATCCCATAAAAGAGACACAAAACCAATCCTCTTCACTCGAAACCTCACAAAGAAGACCGCCACGTGGCCGTCCAATCCACCGGGCCGGCGCGCCCGGCCGCGCGGGTGGCCGCCTGGCTGGCAGGGTGCCGCACTGGGCCTACACCCTGCGGCCCAGTCCGAAGGCGCCCAAGTCTTTGACGCCGAACAGGTCCATCGCGCCCGGCGGCTGGGATCCCTTCGTTCCGGGACCCGGGCGCTCTCTTTCTCTTTTGGGTGGGGGGGACCGAGATGGACTCGAGGAACTCCTTCAATTCGTATAAATAAAAAGGGAAAGGATTCCATCAGGGGGATTCTATGATTGATTACAGCCATGACGAAGAGGCTGAAGAGAGTGGACTCATGTCCAGATCTACAAAACTACCTGCCTTGTATTGGGGAGATATTCAGGGCGACTCCTTCAATTCGTACCATTGAATCCTCTGTCTGTTGAAGGATTTTGACCTCGAGGCATCGCATTTTAGAGAACAAAATGGACAGCGGAAGATCAACGGAGGACTTAAGTGCAGCTATGAGAGCAGAGGATAAACTTGGGTTTCCTTTGGGTCACTGATTTGTGCTGTGTGGCTATCGAGAAGTTCGTCTTGGTGTGCTGAGAAGCACACCGGGGTGGTACGTGGTACCTTTGTTTGATTCTGACCCGCAAGAACAATTTTATATTCAGGACATGGAAGATGGACTCATCCAGGTCTCCTTCTTTTTTGCAAGTCATGAGGGATCGTGCAAAAACAACTGCAGACCGAAATTCTGATGGTCTGCAGCACCTTCGCATTGCTTGAGGAAAACTGGAGTCCTTCGACATGTGTTGTGGAACAGGCGACTTTGGACGCTGATGGGCCGGTTTTGACGTTGTTGAAGGGCTTTCCACTGTTGGGTTCGACTCCACATATTGAGTGCAATAGGTGATTTGCTAACTTGACTCCCTCAACTTAAACAACATGTGGGACATGGTGTTTCCCAGTCCATATTGGTATCCATCCGCGAAGTAAGCGCCACAATTCCAACCGTGGCAAGCACAATTGCAAATGGATGCGCGTAGGTTCTGTACTCACAAACGCGCACTACAACCACATGGTAGAGGGAGGGATATCATTTCTCAAATCTTCAGTATCCCAGGTTGGTAGTATCGTCAGTCCAGGAAAGGGAGAGATCATTGCGAAGAACAGGGCAGTCTGGTAGACTCTTCGATGTCATGCATTGTCACACAGTTGGCCTCCACTCGAGGAAGGTTCGGCCATGTTTGGATGACCAAGGCTTTTCTTAATGAGAGAATTATTGGATCCATGGATCTCTTTGGCTGTCACTAGTAGGTGCTTTTCAGCTGCAAGGTCCCAGGTACCACCCCCAAGAACCGTTTCGGCACCCGGGAGACACGTGCTCGGCATCCCAACCCCGACCGAGCGGGGGGGGGCCTTCGGATCGAGGCCCAGGGGTTCGGCTCGTGGACTGCTGCAGCCGTGCCATGGTGGACTTGCATGAGGCCATGGACACCACACAGGCGGACTCCGGGTCGCGGGTGGACCGATTTGAAATCCGTGTGGCCCTCCGAGTGGTGAAAGAGACCGCATGCCCTGTCGGAAAGACCATTTTTTTCGAACACCAAACAGCTAGTCGCGGGCAAGAGCCTATGGCGTGCACAAGAGGAAAGAGAGGAACACCAAACAGGTGGGTGGTTTTCCACCTTCCATGTGAGTTTTCCCCCGGAGAGTAGGACGTTTTGCTTTTGCCCGTCGAGCCTTCAACACTCCCAGGTGGGTTTGGACGTCACGAGCCTCTCACAACAAGGCGGCTTCGCGGCTTCGCGGGTTTCGCGGGTCGGGTTTGGACTCGCCAAAGCGACGTTTTGGCTTCAGGAGGGAGGAGAGACTGAGGAGAGCCCCTGGGGGGTAGAGTGTTTTAGTGGAGTTTTCCTTTTATATGAGGGTTTGGGGCCGGGCATATTCTCTCTCTCTCTCTCTCGCTCTCTCTCTCTCTCTCTGTCTTTCTTCTTTCTTTCTGCCTGTCTTGAAGACACAGTCTACATGGGACACGTGATTTGGGATTGGTTGTGGATGTTCTCGGATTTGTTACTATGGTGTCTTTTCGTCCAGAGGCACCATAGAAGAGACCAACTGATTGAGATGCATGTGTGATGGCCCTGTCAGGCCTCGACCAATATCAATCTGCGAACGGAGGGATCATTGATCAAGCTTTTCCATCCATAGAATTTACAGAAACACTGGAAAGGTGCTTGGGTACTCCGTTGGAACGAATTCGTCGCCAGGCGAGCTGTGGGAAGACCCAGCGCAACCCATTGCGGTGTCCATGCCAGCACTGGTGGGGCCAAAAGAAGCTCAGCACCAGGTGGGATGTGGCGAAAGCGATGGTGGGGGGGGCGATGGCGAAAAGAGAGTCCTTTCAGTAAAGCATGTCCTCCGTTGTCCTGTGAGCATTTCCATCACGGACGACCCCACACCGGACCCTCGGACGGACCGACCCCACATCGGTGGCGTCCAGACACGAAGAAAAGCGACGTCCAAAACTGATCTTGGTTTGCTGTGTATGGCATTCAGGACCAGAAGTTTGGACATGTTTCTCTGGCAAAAGACTGCCCGGTTTATTGTGCTGCACCACAAAAGGTTTGTTGATATGCTATAAGCGAAGTCCTATTCTGTGGCCTGGAGCACAATTCAATTTGTTCTTTCTATTTTCGACACAAACATCCGTTGCTCTCCATTCGTTTGACACATTTTCTCCCCACATGTTCCAGGACTTCCAAGAGGAGGTGGTCACACACAAGACCATCATCATTCTGAAGGAGGACGTCCAAACACGGGATTACCATTCCGCGTGCAAACAGGAGGACGTGGCGCGGTACCGTTTGCCGTGAGGGCAGCATCAAAAATACTGGGTTTCTTATGCTCTATTTACAGTAGTTTTGATGAATAAAAGAGACAATTATATAATTCCTTACAATCACATCCTAGGTCCTAGATCTCCACATACGGTACCAGATTTCTACTTTGCTTTACTCCGCTTTGCCTTACTCAGTTCTTTTGGCCACCGTAAGATATTGTTAGAATGAACCTTGGCATGCCACTCTGTTCGAGGGTTGACCTGTTCCAAAGATCAAGTGGATGGTCTGCAGCAGTTGTCTGTATCGTTTATATAATCGAGGATGGACGTGGAGGGTGCTGAAACCCCAATCTCCGATGGTTGAACCCCCAAAATGTTTTGCCAATGCCCGATCTAAATGGGCTCAGGAAGAGTGAAGGTGAAGCCTTGGTTGGTAAATCTTTTCGTCATCGGTTTGATCACATGATTTTACCGGCCTACTTGGTTGGTTCTCAAGTGGACCAGTTCCATCCCCGCCTGAGTCTGATCTCACTTGCACTTAGGAGCCCTTCTCCATTTCCATGTGAGCGGCAGAGACACGGTCGAGCTGCGTGCATGTGGACCATTGCAAGTAGGGGTGAAAGATCATGTTGGTATCAGTGAACATGCCCAGGTGTCGAGTTTGGGGGTGGTTGGCGGATTTCTGTGCACGGCGGGGATTGGTGCAACCCATGCAGCTCCCAGACTCGACCGAGCTGCCCACCGCGATAGAATGCGTTGGATGTGCGGAGTATCCTCAGGACAGCTTGAAGAGAAGCTCACTGAAGAACTATCTCCCTTGCAGGAGTCTACCTTGGATTCAAGCAGTTCCTTTGGATGCTTCCATTTCAGGAGAGGCTTAGCCCAAGAACCGTACTCCAGACACGCCTCAGTTGCTTTTCGGTGTGTCTCTTTTCATGGCCACACCGCTTCAGCTCTACCCCCCTTGCAGTCCAACATGGCAGCTGAAACCACAAAAAAACGGGAGACAACGTGTAAGACCCCAGCGTTGGACAAACGAGTCCAGCGTCAAAAAGAACAACATGTTCATCATTCATCGCTGCATCCAGCGGGTCTGCAAGGGGTTGCAAGCCTCGGTCAAAAGGTCCGAGGATCCGAGGTGGTCTCGTGGTCCGACACGTGACACGTCCTGTCGTCCGCTCTGTGGTCCGACTCAGTCCGGACCTCGGAAGGCTCAGAAGGACCAGGGTAGGCTTGAAGACATCTCAGTGATCATTTAGTCTGTTCAAGTTGAATGGAATCTTGCGGGTGGCCCAATGGAATTGAAGACGCAGCACCGCAGCACCGTCTCCTTTTCAGCAGGCCTTCCAAAGCCGTCGCAAACGACTCTTGCCTGCAAAGGCAGGCCCAGCGGCCTTCATGTCGGCGCCAGAAAAAAGCAAGCCTGGCAGCGAAATAGCAGCGCAGGGTTAGGACGGGATTGGGAGTGGGCAGACTTTGCAACAAGAAAGACAGCTGGTGCTTGAAATGCGATCCACCCTCCTCGACTCCATCTTGAGAGGGTTGCTTCTTGGACCAAATACTGCACCAAAACCCAACCGGACAGTCCGGTCCATAGCATTTTGTGGTTTCAAACCACATCAAGCCACTCTCCTTTTCACCTACGACACCTCACGGCCCAATTCATTTCCCCACGTCTCCACGCTTCTTCCGCGCTTCGGTCGGTCCCCGCAGGCCCTTCAGATTGCGCCTCGCGTTCGCTTCTTCTCGCGTTCGCCGCGCCACTCCGACGAGGGGCCTGGCATCGGCTCGGGTTCCTCAGAGCCGAGCCGAGTGACTGACTGAGTGGGCCGGTGCTGAGAATGGGGGGTTGGTGGCCCATGGTGTGTGCTGAAAGATTGAAAGACCTCCTCAAAAAGACATGACCAGAAAAACTATCGAAAGCCAGGAGGTGCTCCACATCGCAGTTGATGGAGAAAGGACTTCAAGAGCAGGGAACCACTAGAGGTAGAGAAAGGCTTTGGGCATGCCCAGCTTGTTCGTCCCGGCCTCCCAGGATGGAGCGTCCAAGAAGGATGAAGCGGCGCCGCCGCCTTCGACCTGGCGTGTTGGTCGTGGGGTGGCAGAAGGTTCTTGCAATCTGAGAAGCCGATGGTCAAAACCTGGAGCCTCCCCTTCCGTCGGTAGGTCAAGCAAGGTATCCTGGTGCCATGACCCACAGCTACTTCCCTCCGAGTCAATCAAGAAGCTCCGGGAAATCGAAAGGGAGCAGAGGCATCCTCCAAGCGGACAGAGTCTGCGGATCAGTTGCGTGCCACATGGTCTACGGCTCCTTCAGGGCTCTGTCACATCTAGCGAATCTGATTTGCTTGATATGTCCGACCTGTTCACCCTTTTCTTCACTCTACCTTGGAAATAGTTTGAAGCTAGCGCGAATTATGACCCGACAGTCAAGATGCTTAGAAGTGTTGGTTGTTTGGATGCTTCCCTGGACTGACCCCTGCTTTTTTGAGGGAAGAGGGATCAGTCGGGTCATGTAGGTGTCTGTAGGTGCATCTTGTGAATACACACCTAATCTACATGTTTGTGGACACCTCACCCAACCACTCGTTGCATGTCTCCCAAACCCATCGGTTTACCGGTCTACCGATGAATGCCAGGCCGACGGGCTTGTCATTTGTTTTCTCATCAAACTTTGTGCCAACTTTGGATTCGAGGGGTGGCCATGAAATCTATATATTTCTTTCAAGAAAAGAGAAAAGGAGAGAAGTCCCCGGGCTTTTTTGGAAGACCAATTGTGCAAAGGAGGCTGCAGTCAAGCTGGTGATGCAGGAGACCAAGGCGCAGTGAGGGAGTGAGGGGGTTGGTGGAGAGGCTTACAGTAGAAGAGAATGATGACCTGGCCACTAGTTGCCTCCTACTTAGTGGATGATCCTACTAGTTGGCCACTACTTAGTAGGATACATCACTAAGTAGGCCACTTAGTCAAAAGAAGGATGTATCCTACTTAGTTGCATCCGAGGCGAAGGGCCACTTGGCGAACAAAGACCCATGCAAGACCCATGTACTCCCGGGCGCATGGACCCATGTACTAGCAGCAGTAGCAGCACTGTAGCCTTTTTGAGCGATTTCCTCACACTCAGAGAATGTAGAGCTCATTGACAAGCTGCAAGATACTGAGAAGAACGCACGGAGAAGTGGGGGTTCAAACACCTCTCTCAAATGCCAGAGTTGGATTATTGCAAGAGTTCAAAACAATCTGATCCCAATTAATGCAGATCAACTACAACCCAAATCAACTGATCTGAGGACACACACTTGAGATTTACTACGTACTGAGTGCACCACCTTCCATGATGGCATCCAATGCGCAGTTGTGGGTGGCCATCTAAGGCTCAAAGGGGTTGCCAATCTCAAAGTTCTCCAAGTTCAATATTTTGAACGAAGCTCAAGCGTTGAACGACGAGTGCAAGTCTGCCGACCTACCTCCATCTAACCAGCCTCGTGACTCAATGGAAGTAGGGCTGACGACTTCTTTGAGCACTCATCATGGACATGTAGCAGGTACACCAGGTTGATCAGACCTGGCTTCCACCATAAGGCATAGTTTCGTTGGCATGTTTTTGCATGATGGCTGCATGCCCTCTGCTGTAACAAGTCAAAGGACAACCTATGAATGCAAGGCGTACACCCACAGCAACAAGGCTAAATCAAACTGCCCACGAACTCACAGCACTCTGGCTCATGAACATGGAAGCTGACAAAGTCCATCAGATTGTTTCGCTCACTCAAAGTCCGGGGTTGTCCACCAGCCGATGTGGTTCACGGGATGTGTTCGCGGGGGTCCCAAGAGGTGCCCAATTGCTCTCGCTCGTTCGATGCGACCTCCAACTGATTTGACCTGCTAGGTGAGCCCCAGCGGATCTGCAGACTCGATGTTGCAGGCCCTGCGGGAAGATGAATTCATGACTGAGAAGTTGGTTTGGTTGGGTGCCGTTTGGCAGCTGGTTCGGTTAGTCATAAACTCTAATAAACCATAACCCAAATGCCACCCTTCCTTGTCACCTGCACGATCTGCAAGATGGACCTACCACTGTAAGTCAAGTGGCGGAACCAGGTGGTAAAACTCGGAGCCGCGACATAGGTGCAATGGATTTGGTTTGGATATCAGGCCCTCCACGAGCGTTCAATGAAGGGCGACCGTTGATTCCCCCTGGCATTTGAGTGATATTAAAATCCCAGACCTCAATCAGGAGAGTAGAACCTTTGCCACTGATATGAGTGTCATACAATCCCAACAACTCCTAGGTCCCAGATCAGACCGCCACTTTGTTCAACACCTCTCCAAGCTAGGCCTCCATCCAGTGTCATCAGTTTTCCGCCCCAAAAAACATTTAAGTCACAGAACATCAAGATTCCCTGTGACAAAAACACTTCTTCAACAAACGCCAAGTGGTGTCCAAAACAATTCTCTCGCCAAGCAGGAGCTGATGGATGGGGCATGGGGCCCTGTTCCGCGAGGGTCTTTTTGGTTCTTTCTTGTTCTTTCTATATACATTTTAGTTTGTATATATTGGTGTTCCTTCAAACTTTATATTTCTGTTCAGACAGGTGACATGAGTGGCACTTGGTGAGTCGCTTTGCTGTTTTGCAAAGCCATTCGGTGGTGTGTGTTTTTTAAAGTACAACCAGTTCCAATGAAGTGCAACTTGGGATGTTTGGTCAGCTACTTTGTGGTGCGCATTTGATGAGCAAGACTGTTTTGATAGTTCTTTGGACTGTCACATCCTTTCATCATACAGGTGAGCCAAAGTGAAGACTTATGGTCCACGAGAAGGGCTGCGATACGGCTTCGCTGCGTTCGTCTTCCTTGCTGTGACGGTCGGGCCGAGGTGCGCCAGAGGCGCGCGATGCTGGGGGGGGTCCGCACAGGAGCGAGCGCAGATGGGGGATGTTGGCTTCCGTCAGCCAGTCCGGGAAGCCTAGTGGGGGCGGGAAAAACCGGATAGCTCGATGTCATTCATCTGAGTGTGTAGCTGAAGAAGGGAAATAGACCAGTCTACCCATTGGTTGGAAGTCTCCCCTATAAAAATACACACCCATCTAGTTCTCGTGCTGGGTGGGATCCGACAGCTCATTTTTGCTTCAACATGCACCAGCAGCTGTGAAAGCTAACGTAAGCCCTTTCCATCTCCCGTTCTCCATGATGTTTGAATCTATCTATCTATCTATCTACCTATATATATCTATCTCTCTCCACTTTGCACCTTTGTGGCTTCCCAAACCCACCTTCAGCTCGTGCCGCCCGTTCTTGGAGCTGCAGCCTGCGTGGCCAGCCGAACGAACGCCTGCTATATACAGCCAGCCGACCGGTGCTCTGAGGTTTGGGAGGACACTGATGCCATCAAGAAGCTGAAGCAGGATGAGATTGAGTTGACTCGGAAGGCCGGTGAGAGTGAGTCTTCCCGAGGATCAGTGGAAGACGTGGTGAATCTTGAGTCTGCTGGACTGCTGGACGTGGTGGAACAGCTGTGTAGTGTCACAGGCAGTGACACCACACACCATGATCTGTCCTTGTAGGCGCCAGCTACTAGTGGCTTGTGTGATTTTCCAACAACTTGGCTGACGCTGGAGCATCCTCCATCTTGGACAGCAGGGAAGTACAGCCCCTTCTAGAAGCGATTTGAGGGTTTCTGCTGCGGGATTCAGTCTTCCGATGCGCAAAATGCCAGAAACATAACATCGAACCTTTCTACCCAGATGTGTCTTTGTTGCACTGCAAGGCAACCCTGCTTGAAGACCCTGGTGCATAAGAGTTCTGTCGCTGTACAGTTCTCTTTTCCAGCCACACTTTGCTCAAAAGCTAACCCCAAACTCCAAACAATGTGAAGACATCTTTGCGGAAGCCAACAGATGGTCACAGCCCAGCCTTTGGGTTTCACATTTTCTGGAGCCAGTAGCCTTATTTTTAGCCCGCAGGCGGGGGGTAGGCCGCGGAGGTCGCTAGGCCTAGCTAGTAGCTTACTTAAGCTACTAGGAACTGGACGCAGGATTAGGGAAACTTAACTAGTAGCGTCCTTGCTCCTAGTAGCGATGCCCTTTGTTACTAGTAGCTTCTTGTTAATAGTTGTAGCCTCTAGACAATTCATCTCTACCCTCTCTCTCTCTCTATCTACATCAACACCATTTTTCCCTGAAGGGACCTTGGGGAATTGGGTGGGCTTTTCTCATCAAGTCCAGTCCTCGGTTCTCTCCAGGTAGGCAGTTGAAATGGAAGCGATCATCCAGCGTTTTCGTGCGTTTTAACCCATCCCTGCCGAGCCTGCGGCGAGCCGCACTGATCCTCCATTTCCAGAAGTTTCTAACCAGATCAATTCCAGCAGTCTTTAAGGGGTGACAACCCCGTGAACTGGAGATGACGTGGATGGATTGTTGGGATTAAATCAACAAACTTTGATGCGTGAACTGTTCGATCTGATCCATGCGTCAACTCCTCAGTTCTTGTTTTTTGTGCAAAAGAACATCGTGGACACTGGTGGATAGCTCTCTGTTAGTGGTATGGGCATTTATCCCAAACTAGCCCAAACTCTTGTACCCCCCAAGCTCCAAACAGTGTTTGGAACCCACCATGGAACCCTCCTCCACTCCACGCAGATCTTCGCGCGCGTGGACCCCCGCAGCGATGCGGTCTCCAACCTGCAGGGGTGCGGGTTCGGTCTGGCCGTTTCGGTCGGTTTCAGTGAAGCTCATGGTCGGGTCGGTCTGCCCCCAACGTGAGGGCTCTTTGAACCAGTGGCAAAAAGGAACACGCATTGATTTCTGGGTTTTAAGTTCTGGAGTGAGACATGAAAAAAACTAGAGAGAGTCTTCAACACCGGAGATCGTACATAGCCTCAATGTAGCGAGAATTTTGTGTGAAGACATGTTGCTACGGGCTATTTCTATGTGGGTGTGTGCTAAAAGAGGGAGACCCCCAACCAATAACCCAACCAATAACTTTGTTGCTTTGTTTCTTGTCAAGGCCTGTATTAGGCCTGTTTCCCTTCTTCCAGAAAGTCGATGGCTGGGAGGTTTCCCTATTTGAGCTACACCCCCATGTATCGGCCTGACCATGATCACAATTCTGCGAGGGAAAAAAACATATCAGTATGTATGTTCGATCAAACAGCTAGACCCAGCTAGGCTGCAAGAGAACCGACATGATGTTTACATGGCACAGAAGACCGACGGGATGCGACTTCAGTCGATCAAATCGACTCACATTTTCATCATGGAAGACACATGCAGCTTTGGATGTTTCAATCCTCTGTACCTGAGCTTGTACCCTTGAAAATGGGACATGATCCACACCATCTTCCCAGGTACTTCCATTGAACCCTCCAGAGTCCGCTGAAGACGCGTGAAGAGCTTGCGTTCAACGAACGAGAACCTGCTGTTTGAATCAGCCAGCCCCCACCACCAGGGCGGCAGCGCGGCATAACATTGATCCCTACTGGAGCCCCTTCCATCAAGTGGAAGACCTGAAACAACAGGCCTGGAGCTCGGCGGGGGAAGGGAAGGAGGCCGAATCCCAGAAGCTGGCTTGAAGAGACTGTGAACACGGTGTCCTTCAACTGGCCACGGCGTGTATTGCAACGAACCCCCCAACGATCGACAGGGATTTCATCGGTTGGATTATTCTTTTTTCGGGTTTGGAACCCCGTCCTTGAGCCGTGGAAAAGGTGCGACCAGGATTCAGATTTCCTTTGAACATGTCGTGTTCACGACTCACTAGTCTTTGCTCCCTTTTTCAGGATGGACCATCCCGCCCAATCAGACCCTCCCAAAACCTTAGGCGGGAAAGTTCCCTCCCTCCCTCCCTCCCTCCCTCGTGAACAGTTCCCTCCCGACTGAACTGGCACCGACTGAACTGGCGAACTGAACTGGTTTTCGACTTGTCTTTGACTCAGAACGACTGCGAGGTCACCGCGGAGTTCGATGAATACCAGCGCATCGTCGGGGCGGCCGAAGCCAAGCGGGTGCGCGGGACATCGGGCCGACCAACCGGTGGTCGGTCTGGTGCTCGTCAACCGGATGGAGTGTGTTTGGATTTCGGCGATTTCGGGACGACCGGTCTCCTTGAGCCTTGGATTCCTTGGAGCGACAACGTCTCCATCGACCGGTCGACCGGTCTACTCTCCGTGATACCGACCGGTCGATCGGTCTCCGTGTTCCGACGGGTCGAAGGCGACACGGTTGGCATGGTCCGAGCTCCGACCTGACTGTCCGAGCTTGGCCTGCAGATGTTTTCGACTGGCCTGGTGCAGATGACGACACCAGGCAGACAGAAATGAACAAGCCCAACGTCTCAGCCTAAGTTATGAGGCTCGTCGTTGAAAGAATGTCTTTTCTAAGCCTGTGTCATATATTCCCTCCCCACATATGAAGAGGATGACACATCTGTTTTTTCATGATGGATCTTCTGCCTGCTGTTAGGACACCGCATGAAACCTTGTCGATTCAGTTCGTTAACGTGTTCCCTCCAAATGCACCCGGCCGATCATGCAGATATCTTCTCTCACCTGCCCACACGACCCCGCAGAACACGTCATGTGAGACATCGATGTTCCCATCGGTGCCGATGCCATGCGCTGCTCCTGGAGCCTCTTACGGCGTATCTCTCTGCTCGGGCTATGGGTGCTGGGTGACCCATCGGCACGGAATCGGCGAGTGTGAGGACGAGAACGCCAGGTGTTTGGGACGGGTGATGCACAACAGCAGTGGCAGATGACGCACACCTTTCCCGATCAAGATGTTCAGTTCTGACATGATAGAACACTCCAGGGTCGTCATTGAATATATAGGTCTGCATGGAAATGCCCACTCGGATTTTCTCACTGACTTGGGTGTACCCGCCAAATCTGATCCTTGGAGCATTTGGAGAAGTCTTGGAGCCAATGGAACTCCAAGAACTGGATCTGTCCCAACTAGCACTTCCTTCCACCATCCTCCGCGGCCGCGGCCTCGGCCTCGTACAGCCGAGGTCTCTCCGGTGCCTTTGTGCTGATCCGAAGCCCCTGGCCCACGCGGGGCGAGCGTTGGCTGCCAGCGCATGAGGCCGAAAGCGTTTCGAGGCGCGAGGAAAAGAGCTGAAAGGGACATGTCATGTGTGAAAATGGACTCAGTGGCACACAGTTTTGGCTCCAACTTCCACTTCCCCATTGGCCCATCAGCCTCAAAGAGTTGGATCTCGAAGAGTTCGGTGTCTGCCCCGTCTCCGCCCAGTGCGACACCGAGCCCTTCGAGCCTTCCTCTTCCGACGAACTTGCTGGCCGACGGCGCCGACGGCGCGGACGGCGCCGACCTTGGGCCGAACGTGGTCGAGAGCGCAGCGGCGAGTGCGACGATCCCTGCAGCGAGCAACTGGATCTTTCAGGCGAAGTCGGGAACGTGAAGGCTGAGATTGGCCGGAGTCATCCGGAGTCTTAAAGTGGTGAACTTTCCCTGTATGGGTGTGTTGTTTTTTTTGTTTGGGTCTTATAGACAGTAGAAGATGTAGAAGCTCAATAAAGACATATAAAGACCACCAAAACATTGGTTGCAGGGGTTCCACTTGAACATGCACCCAGCAAGAGTGGGTTCACATCCGAAGTGTTGAGCTTCGGGCTGGAAGAACATGATGAATCGCTTCAAATGTTTCAACTTTGAGAAGATACGTCATGGAAGGAGTCGAGTCCACTATCTTCCATCCGCACCATCGGCCCATCCGATCCATTTGAGGATCCGGTCGTGGACCCTCCGGGCTTCCGGGCCTTCCAACGAGAGCTGGAGGCAGCCAGCGCCGGGGAAACCGGGCGTGGTCCCAAGGGCCGTGGGAGGGGTTGCGGTGCGGGCCAGAAGGGCAGAGGAGGTACTGGTAGGTACTGGTAGGTCCTGCACTTTTGGGCTTTTTCGGTCTTTTGTGACAAAGCTATTCTGTCTCTAGGTTTGAAAGGACATGCGTAGGAAACAGCCAATCAACAAGAAATAGCCTTCCTCAGGATCTACTGACGCCCTCAAGCCGAGAATTCGAACCGACTCTAAATCTGTGGGTCACTGGTCATTCTCGGGCTGGAGCCAAGGCCAAGACTGATCATCATCCACCAAGATAGACCCAACTGCCCAACTGCCTCGTGAGGAACTTCATGGTTGGCGTGTCACGAAATCAGGTCGGCAAAAGGACCACCCTACCCAGTCAGTCAAACACCCTTTAACCATCAACCACTTTTGAGGATTGGGGGACACAGCACTCAACAGGGAGAGATGAAGAACAAGTGGACAGTTGGGCTAAAAACCTGTCCGGCTCGGGATCCCAAAACGGCGGAGTTGGCCACTGGACTCACCTTCTCCTCGCGCAGGAGCAGCAGCGCAGCTTGCGATCGAAGAAAGACCCGCAATGGCTGATCTTTTGCTTTAAGCCCCATGGGATAGGCCGGGGTGCGAGTTTTCTCCGAAACGCTGGTGGAGTGGTGTCCGCTTCCTTTATTTAAAGGTGAAGTGACTAAGTGGCTTTTCAATTTGCGAAGTGGGAGACTACTCACTACTCAAATCCACGGCTGGAGGGGAAGAATGAAACAAGCTGAACAAGCTCACAGTCCTTTACCTGTACCACCAAGACCATGCTTTCGCATCTGTTGAAAAAGTCTCACAGTGGTTTGAGGAGACTTTTGGGGGCCTCCTAGGCCTCGGCATGGACTTGATTCAGATCCCCAACTTCAGAGGTCAAAAGCCACTGCTCCGGGAGCTCGAATCGCTCAGTGAGGCAACTGGATGCTGGGTTTGGCCAGCGCGTTGCTGATGGCATGGCTTACAGGAAGGCTCTTCGCGCACATGGGAAACCCCAGGAGCTGCGAGTGGTTTGGCGCCAAGTCACCTTTGTGCCGATGGCAGGAGGACTTTCTGCCTCAGAAACTGCGCGAGAGGGTCCAGGATTTTGTGAGCAATCCATTGAGCACCAAGGCCGGGAGAGAGAGAGAGGGGTATGAGATCTCGGATCCTCCATTCTTCCGGTCCATTGAACCGGGCCCAAACCCAAACAGAATACCGGGGAACGAGTTCGCACCATCTCGACCCTGTGAGCCGTGCCGGTGCCCCTGGACCCGCCTCTGTGTTGAACGGAAGAGCCTGAGTTGATGGCTGGGGCCCGATCTCGGGGTGACATGCCGAAAAAGAGAGCATCGATACAGCAGAAACCTTCACATCTGGTTTCTTCTGACCCAGGATCACAACCAGAAACCGCTTGCATCAAGCTAGAATGACTACAGTCAGCTGCCTTCTCTCCCGCTCCTGTTCTCTTCAGCACCGGCAGAAGGGGGTCCGGGGACGGCTTCAACGAAGCGCCGCATCGGTTCGGATTCCTCCACCGATGTCCGACTACTGAGCCCCGGTTCCATCTCGTCGATGAATGGATCGATTTCAGAGCTAGAAGGCCACTCGAAGGCCACTAGAACCATGTTTGGGACACGTGTTGATGTCTGGGATGTCTGGGATGTTCCACAGATTCTTTCCCGGAGCCAGACGGTGGGTCAGGTCACCACTGTGGAAACGTGTTTGGGGGATTCTTCTTTGCGCTTGTTCCAGGTGAAGATGAGAGATCTGGAACATCTGAAGAAGCTTGGTAGCATGAGACCTGATCAGTTTGGGCAAATGACCACTGTCCGACACCCCCCCGGCCTCAAAAAGGCATGCCTTTTGACATGGTGCATGGTTCTGACATAGGGTCCTGGTTGTACTTTGGATTTAACCCATGATTCTTGGATTACAACACCCCTCACAAGGGCTTACCTCGCTGGTTCTTCTGCAAGCAGGGCTTGCCAAGTGCCATTCGCTTGATCTCCCTGTTCTCCTCCATGTTCACCATTGACATCTGGTGATATGGGTGAAGGGCAAGCCCTTTCATAGGCATAAAGGGGTGGATTTTTAGAAAGTACCACGAACCATTACAGTTTTCCTGTCAGAACGCACTCTTATGTGATCGACTCCGAGAGAAATACAACAAGATACCCTTTTTTCGAGCACAAGCTGACTTTTGCATCCTGTGATGTTTATTTTTTTGTTTTTTTCAGAAGCTTCCACATGGAAAGTCCTGTCTTTCACACCGTTCCTCCTCCCACTCCATCCACAGGATCTACTGGAAGGGCTGCTCCTATCGGAGGGTCTGTAAGGAGATGAAGTTCAAGCAGATCCTGGTGGCCACTTGGCCTCACTCCCCCGAAGAGTCGTCCGCAGGAAAGCAGGGGAAGCTCGTCTTCTACGGATCCTCTTTCTCATTGAGGATCGATATGGACTTGTTTCAACTTCACTGGACGAACCCCGGAAGACATCCCGGAAACCAACCCATTCATCCGTCAGCGACACGTTGCTGGTCGGACCACACGGAAGGACCTGTCGGCGGCGGACGTTCAGGTCACATCAGGAGCTTGGTTCGGTGAGCTCTTCCTCGACCACACGCTGTTTTCACAGAGGCATGGCGCCTGTTCCGGGCGCGCGTACCGGGGCAGGCGCGGAACAGGTCAGGTATATAGGGGTCTGAAAAGGATATGAACGGATTGGAAAGGGGAACAAGCCAAGCATGGGTGCGCAGGACCCCAGAAAAAGCTACAGAGGAAGAGGCCACACATTTACAAGTGGTCGTTTACCCGGTGCAAAAGCAACAATTCTACATACCCAAGAAAAATTGCCTCACCGGAAAGTTAGCTCGAGTTTCTCTTTCCTGCAGATAATCCCGGAGTTTTTCTTTAGGACATCGGGCCTGGACTATCTATTTCTTGACATTCGGAAAGCAGAAGCAGACGCATCGTCCTGGAAGGAGAACCTACCGAAATAGACTGCGCAGTGCTTGGAATCTTTTTGTTCAATCGTTTTTCGACATCATACTTCAGATGTTCGTTTTGGCCGGACGCTTGGTCAAATTCTTTCTTTCTTCTTCCCGCCAGTGGCCAGTGGCCCGCCACCCATTGAATCCATTGAACTCTTGGGGCTACCAGACCGCTGAAACGCC